TATACCGGATGCTTGAGCAAATGGGCTGAAATTTACGGAGAACTTTTTAATATGTAAAGATAACAATTGGAATTCGACGACAAATCAAAAGTCGATGGGAAAAGTAACGCATTTGTTTTCCAAGCACAAGAGAAAATCATGATCAGAAAATAAGTCATTGACTGCTGCATTAATTAACAACGGTTAGCATTGGAAGAGGAAAAAGATGCTACAACTTGAAGGTTTTGCTAGGTGACGCAACCCCGTCGTTCGGCATTTCAATGCTCTACGCAGAGGTGCCTGGAAAGAAATTATTTGATTAAGTGGACTTTCTTCATTTCTGGTAGACCTCGCTCTCAAAGGAGGGGATTGTCCCCGTTTGTCATTATGTGACTGAAGTGCCGCAAACGGTGCTTCGGTTTATCAAAGCGGTAACGAATTCTAAGTTGTAGCTGTTTTATCCGTAATGCAAGTTTCGTTTTGTGGAGGGAAAGTGGATTTGTACTCATAACTTTTCGCCTGTTGGTTTGTTAAGCTCATAGTTATTTGAAGTGATATCGAAGTTTTAATCACTAAATTCGACACAGTGTGCACCGCTACATTAAAAGTAATTGAAATATTTGTGTTATATTCTGTATAGTAGATGAAGGTTTTATTTTCTTCGCTTTTCCAAACCCTCTTGCTGAGAACTTCTGCAGAACACTCGCTTGTGGATAACATATAACTCTAAGAATGTCGTGATTCAAGTGAAGAAAGGGGAGGTTGTTGTGACGCAATAAAAATACCTTTATAGTTCTTTGGTAACTGCGGGAATATGTGTCGGAAGAAACATTGGTACTTGTATGGAGGGGATGTGCGGAGCTTTTTGGAAATAGTGGGACATCGAGTGTAAAACCTTTTTTGATAACGCGGAAAGGAAAGAAATTTAAAAATTTGAGGTATTGTTAATTCTTTATATTTTCTATGTGAAGTGCATGCGAGTTGTAGGAAAAATAAAGCTAGGGATTAACGGGAACAAGTCTTTGTTGACTGTTACTGCGTGAGGACAGCAACTCGGAACAGGCGTCGACCTACAGCACGTGAGCAGTTGCAGGTAATGAATGTGTAGGCAATGTGCACGTCGTCTGTGCTATACCTCAAAAAAAAAAAAA